TTGTTCGTCACTCGATGGCCGATATCTTGGGGGGGGGGGGCGGAATCCCCCCCCCCCCACCCCAGCCTGAGAGATGGTCCAAATAATCCGGCCCCATTAGGGTTAAAATTGCAAAGTGGTATTGTTTCATCGTGAAAACTGTCAGAGTCGAACCTGCAATAAAAAGCATTCAATTCATCAACAAAGTCTTTATTACAGTCAATAGCTGAGTGTTTGGATTTGCCTTTGTAGCCAATCATCGTCAGTATGTTCTGCCACGCAGTTCTCAAGTTGTGCCCTTTAAAGTTTTGCTCCAGTTCTTTTGACGTACACCGAAACTGTACGCAACTGCTCACTGATTAAATTCATAGCTTTGTTATTAATTGAATTATCGTTTATAACGGCTTTTATCAATGTCAAGTATCAAAAACTGCGCGGGAACTGAAACAGCAGTTCCGATAAAGCAAACGTTTGTATGTGTATCTAACAAAAGCATTGTTTAAGAAAATTTACGAAATGCGGTCGATAAGAAAACCTGTATTTGTCCTAATATTTGGGTTATCCAAATGCAATCGTGTAATAAACAAGGTAAGTTGGAATAACAGCAAAAGTACACCACGTTGGCAGAACGTTTGCGAGAAATAAGCCACTTTTCTCATAAAAGCGAGCGGGCAACTAGTGTTCCATCATACCAAACAACATCTCGACAGAACTGGCAGATTTCACCATGCAAGCTTCACGCCTTGTCTTCGCTCTGCTCTTCGGAGCCTTACTGGTTGGTAAGTTAACAACGGCTATGCTTAAGTTTACAACAGGCTGCTTATAACACACACTGGGCAGTTGTCGACGATGTAAGTTGTAGCCTCAGTAATAGCGAGAAGAGACATCCTCATGTGCTTCTTGCCATGATAAGTTTGAAGCTTTCATGTCATTGCAATCACACAATCTTCCTTGTGTGGTGTAGGGAATAACTGTCACGTTATAATTATGGATTTGATAATATATTCAATTCATTTAGGTTTTCTTTTGAATATTTTGTTGGAGTTGGACTGTTCACGATATCTGGTATGAGAACTGTATGCAAGAGCCGGAAATGCAAATGAAGGTACTTTTTGAACAAAAATCGAATGACATTTCATTGCAGTATTTTTCTGGTCATTTTTTTCTATAGTCCATATTTTCTTGAACCTGTTTATTTCGTGTCTTGAAGAATATATTATACAAAAAAGGTAAGTTGCAAGTAAAGAGGGGATATCCTTTTTGTCTTTCTCTATTGACATCACATTTCACTCCACAGAAAATGTATGTTACATTTTCCTAACATGAGTTTTGCCATGGTCATGATAATGCAGTAATGCAATGACGATATTGCATTGCAGTATACCCCTGATCATTGCTTTTAACGCAAGGAAATGGTTAACAAGTAATTCGTTTGCAAGACATCTACACATCGAAGTGTGTTGAAAATGTCGCTTTTGATTTTGTCATTAATTGCATTTCAGGATTATGCATGGCAAAATCACCACAGAGGGCGCTCGAGTTACGCCATCAATCCAGGGAAGGTAATATTTCTGACATAATTAGCTTCAATAAGGACGTAATACTTCCTGAATAGTCAACCTCCAGTAAAGGCCGACACTCTCCTGCATTCATAAATACCTGAGAGGGTTTACCTATTCCAATTCATGGTAGTTGACGCAAATTAAGTGTCATCGTCGAAGATGTTTCAGTTTGCCCCTCGCAATTAGACGCAGCTAATCCAAATTCAGCTCAACCAGTGGACAACAAATGCACAAATAGATAAAGAAGTAACTAATTCACGCACCGTTCTCAGTGCGAACACAATTTTAAGCTCAGTCATGGTATAATGATCTCAATGAATATTAATATGGGAAGTACTGTTTCTGTAGAACACAAACCAAATAATACAACGCCTGCAAGGATGGTTAATTTGTGATTGATATTTGAGCTACACATGATTTTAAAAGGGAAAAGTTGTATCTATTTTCATTTCTGTAATCAATATCGATTCTTATCCAAACCTTCGTACTTTTACCTTAATTTTAATAGGGAGTGTGGATAAACATCATCTGATGTTTTTATACCTTTTGTTCATTCTGTGAAAGTTTCTGATTATTAATGTCTAAATATGTAAAGTACAATAAATAAAATCAAACCAGCATCGTCTTAATAGGGTTTGGTGAACAATCGGAACACGTAGACATAAGTAGGCATCAACAACGCAATGGACGCCTAGGGGAGACCCCCTTCATTACATGAATTAAATGTTAACTGGTACGTTCAAAACAGAGATATCTCTATTCCTACTAGAGATATCTCTTTTTTGATTATTTTTTTTTTAAATGCACGCCATGTAAGTTCAACCGCATACTAGTTGGTGGATCTCCGCAAAAGGAATTTGTCATTTATGGTGCAGGCTGCGACTCAGACGAGTTCGCCTGCAACGATGGATGGTGCATCCCCGCCTCCTGGCAATGTGACGGCTGGAGTCAATGCTTTGGTTCTGGTGGAGAGGACGAGGCAAACTGCCCCACCAAGAGTAAGAATACACAATCTTGTCAACATTGTCTCATGTGAAAGTTAATGAAAGTACAATTACTAATAAACACTGGCCCCACCCCCAAGCGTTTCCTTGCCCCCACGCCCCCCTTTCCCCCTCCATTTTTTCCCACATGTTATATTCAAATTTGTTTCTTTTCTTCGCTGTAAGATTCATAACAAGTCGAAGATCGACAGTGAACCATCGGTTCTGTGGAAACATATTTACCAAATGAAAGCATTATAAACATTTGCACTTGGTAGACAAAACACGCCACACGTGCATTTATACGGCCGTAGATACAGTGCAGCCAACGTTTTTTTACATGTGTTATACATTTTTGTTGTACACCAATGCTGCGGTTTGATACATTTTTTTCTTTCATAAAAAAACGACTACACTTCTAAGTTCCTCTGGTATCGTATTCCGGGCCAATGACTGCCCCCCCCCCCAAAAAAAAACATCCTTGCCCCCAATTTCCCTCCTATTTTTGAAGTCTGTTGCTGCCATTGGCTCCAACAATATTTTAAGTTATAATCTATATACGCCGGCCTACACCCCTTAGTTGATCCCTACCAAGGAGTATCCGGCTTTATTTGCCCCTGGTTTTAGGTTCCAATTCAGACTGCGGCTCAGACCAGTTCGCCTGCAACGATGGATGGTGCATCCCCGCCTCCTGGCAATGTGACGGCTGGAGTCAGTGCTTTGGTTCTGGTGGAGAGGACGAGTTGAACTGCCCCGACAAGGGTAAGAATAAAGAACAATGTTACCAATACTGTCCCACATGAAAGCATAAGAAAAGCAACAACTAATAAACACTTGAGACTGTCGACTCCTTGTGCAAAACGGAAAGCAGTTGATACGCGCATTGATCGATTCCCTTTTCTGCCTCTCGGTAGCAACCTGTAATACGAGTCGCTCGGTTACGTGTTCACAGCCAGTCGTGGAGCTTATCTTCATATCAGTGACTGCGTCTCCTTTCGGTTCGTCACATTTTCACTCACTCTGAGACAAGGATGCTACTGGCGTTATCACTCCTGCGTGCTCCGTTAAGATTATTCAAAAATTAACACATTCCTCAATCAACAATTATTTTGTAAAATGTTCCATACAATGGTTGAGATTTTTTTTTTTTTTTAAGTTCGTGCTAAGTAAGGAACATCGTCCCATTATAAACATATTTGATTTCCTTGAAATCGGTTCAGTTTGTTTTCGACCTGCCTCATATCGGAACACCAATAATTTAAAACCTTATTTTTGTTAAGTGTGCGTTTATGAGAAGACCATGCAAAATCTTGAAAAATCGACAAGGTGGGGGGTCGGCGAATTAAGTTCAAATCTTGGCCATTTGATCCCCACCTGAGACGATACCACTCGGTGGAGTAGCTCGATAAATAATCACACGGTGGCCGAGTACGGGGCACCGACAATTTTGAGCAAAAAAAGGTGACTTCCGGGGAGTAAATTTGTGTTGTTTCTGGTGTAAAGTTATAGCCTCGTGTATTCCCTTAAACTAAATCGTTTACTGACGACCTACATATCAAAAGAAAGGATTTAATCTCCTCTAAACGATGAAATATAAATCTTTGATATGCAATCATTCATTGCGGAGATATAGGCGTAAGAAAAACACGTATCAGCTCTATTACGAAATGAAGTCATTTACGCGGTAAACCATAACTTAATTAATGCAGGGCTGAGAGTCAACAAACTTGGAGGAAATGTAGTTCAGATATCCGACTACAATAATAAAAAATAAAAAAACTGTCAGCTCTTCCGGGTTTTTTTTGCTCACGGTCAACAAAGTTGAAAAATTCCTATTTTTCAAGACCAAACCTACATAGCCCCCTAGACAGTTCCGAGTGCATTTGGTTCCCCTTAATTGACATTTTGCTGGAATTGTTGTAAGAGCGTAACAAAATCTACATTTTGCAGACTTCACCTATTGGGTGGGTGGGTGAGTGGGCTACCTTTGGTGGTGCGCACTGATCCGGTAGGAGGGGAACGTCCTGTTGCCGCCCACCCAGTTAGCGCACGGTATCGAAAGAGGGCCCCCTCGCATAACATCACCGTCAAAATGGCTGTCATGGACATGCTGTCAGTGCGGCAGCAATGCGATTTTAGTAATTTTGAGTATTGCAAAGCCATCAAATGTGGTGTAAATCCCTCTTATCCGCGCGAACTAAATACAGTGCAACTTAATCGATGCACAAAAAACATACGGAGCCATTTGCAGAAGTGGAAAGTCGCTGCATATAATTTGAATGTCGAGTGCATGGAAACTGATCCTCCTGCGATGTGGTTTGTTCGACGGCGATGCATACACTGATAAGACAATATGTCCAGCGCATAGATACAAGTTAGGGTTGAGTTAGACATCATCAAGGAAATGTTGTCATCTACTCCATAAAGTGAAAGGCAAACCATTCCGTGGCTGGAATAAAGCAACTAGCCGTGAGATGTTTGATCGATTGTGTATCCTGATCACAGTTGGAACAGGTAAGAAGACAGAAATCAAACAAACACACATTTCTGAAATGAATCAATCATGGTCATGGTCCATTTCTGATCAACTGATTTTGTTTCTGGGAAGGTTATATCAATTAAATCCCTTATCATGCAGTTGACTTGGGACCAGTGACATGTATCATTGTGTGAAAAATTAATACTGGTTGTCACAGCTCTGGACCACACACATGGTTTTCGGCAGTGGACACACATGGTGGATATTTTGATTTTTTTTTATATAAAGAAAGTTGGAGCTGCACTGAACATGCGCAGTTTGGGGAATAAAACAAATATTTATTTTGCACTTACATTGTTGTCTTGACCATTTACAAGAACAATTTCAGATTGTTTTCCCTTTTATACAAATCCTCCAGCGCCAGCCAAATCAGAAAATGAAAAAGTAATAATTGTAAATAAATACAGTCAATCTAAAATAATAAAAGAAGATTTTTTTATTTTTTATTTTTTTATTTTTTTATTTATTTTTTTTTTTTTTTTTGGGGGGGGGAATTTATGACATTGGTTTTGTTCAAGGGATCTATTGCTCAATATTGTTGGCTACATACGCCCCGCTTTATATCTTTTACGTTTAAAAAATATTAAGCCTGCTGCGGCCTTTACACTTTGTTAATTCTCACTGTTCATGTGACTTTCAGGTATCTGTAGAGGTTGTCTATCTAAGCACTAACAAGCAGTTACACACCAGCCAGCGGAACAATTACCACCTAGCGATGTGCTCTCTAAAAGGAACAGGAAGAGCAGCAGTGTACAATCAGTGATTTCACATCGCCGGCTGGTGTACCATCTCTCCAACCCACCGACACAGAATGCACTTCAGTTCATGAGGTAATGAGAGTGAACTAAGAATGGACATTGACATATTGCATCTCATTTATCACAGATGAATTGTAAGTACTCTTCTTTGAGTACATACATTTGTATTTCAACCCTGCTATATGTAGCACGCATCTCACTGTTTTTATTTTCCTCATGATTATTTCTAGCATACATCTGAGTCATCATCAACTGATGGAGATATTACAAAGGATGTAGGTGCACTTGACTCTTCTTGGGCTCCAACCCCCCGACCAAAGAATGTGGAGCTGCAATCCCTGAACACTTTCCTAACTCAGGGTGGAATGTCTGCTGTTGATGGGCATCTTCATCTGTCATTAGAAGAAGCATCTGATAGCACCATCCGTTATTATAGAAGGAAGGCAAAGGAAGCCTTTGGTTTAGTTCTTCATTGTTTAGCACCAGGTCAAGAAGTTGGGCTCATGAAGAATTGAAGATTACCATCGGTGAAACAACTGCTGAATCATCACAAAGTAGTCAAGATTTTGAAAGTAGTACCCGTTTTCATTTTTTTTTATTGCATCCTTTTTTACCAACATTTTTGCATTAGTGGTTTCATGTTCTCTTCCTTTACGTATTTTGTGTTTAAACAAAGGGTTATCATGGCTTCTATTTTGATACTGTGTTAGTTCAGTTTTCTTCTTTCAACTTCCATTTAAGTTTAAAGTTCAATTTAGTTTTGTACAGTTGACTTTCGTTACAGCAAGGTCGGTGAGACCGCCCAAACTACCTCTTTAAACAGAAATGTTGCTTTAAAAGGACAGCGAAACAAGGAGACACAAAGAGAACTAGAGATTTGAGACCTCAGAATTTGCTCTTTATAAGCAGAAGTAGGACATCTTTATAAAAGTGCTCTTTATAACAAAAGTCGACTGTAGTACTACCATTTTACTTATTTGGTTGTTTGGATAACAGGTTTAAGGTTTGGGAAAAAGTTAATTTGGATCCTTTTTGATTATTGGTTTTTTTGAATGGTTTTCTTCAAATTTTGGTTGGTAAAATAAATCATTCTTTTTTTGTTGTCATTCTAAAAATGTGTTTGTCATTGTTTCTATTTATTCAAATTCCTCTCTACTTGTTCCTACCCCATCTAGGTCTATCTCATTTTTGACAGCGAGTACCCCAACATTTTCGTTTTTCTCATTCAATTTATTATTTTCCCAAGTTTATTAATTTTCCGGGTTATATTAACAAGCCAAAAAATAACAGAATTGTCATCCAAGCCTCATCACTCCCACATTTGGTGCACGATATGTGGCAGGGTGTACCCCCCCCCACCCCACCCCCATTGTGTCTTCATTGTGTTCTGGTAATCTCAGGAATTCTGTAGATGATTATTGGGGGATACTTCTGTTAACAAAAAGACAAGTGTGTGATGAGTATAGGAACATATGTGGGGACTCCCTCTGCCACAAATCGGGCAGGGTATACATTCCATCCTGGACTCTGAAAGGTGGCGGCCATATTGATTTAAGATGACCCCCCCCCCAACCTAAAAATTGGATTAATTAAGGGGTTATAGCACCCCTAATGGCGTCTCCAGTATTAAAATAGGTTTTAATTTTATTGATCATGAAAAATATACACGTTTGCCAATTTTCATAGCATTCAAGCAAAAAAGTCAAAAATTATGTGAAAAATACATTTTTTGACCAAAAAGGTGCCCAAAAAACGCCCTCTATGAAAGATTTTTAAAAACATTTTTGACGTCATTATTTACAAATTGGAAAAATAAAACTTGGTGGCAAATTTCATGAAAATTGGTTGTCGACTTTTGAAAATACAGAAAAGGGGGGGGGGGCACTGAATGCCCCTCCCCCGTCCCTTTACTACCGAAAAATAGGGGTAATACAGGCTCCTGCCATTTCATACTAAAAACTGCTGACAATTTTTTTATTCTTGATACTTAAAGACCATGATAAGAACTCTCTTTCACCTGAGTGCCATTGTTCAAAGACCTGCACTAATGACGCTACGGCGACTTAAAGATCGCTATTTCTATGACTCAACTTTGGGGGTACCCTTAGTGCCGTTGCCTCCTAAGAGCAATTTTTTTTCTAAATTTTGAGTTCCTGGTTTAGGTCAGGATACAACCTCAAGACCATGCAAATTTCATTTCTCTGCTGCTTTCCCCTGTTGAGCAGCAAGCGTTTAAACGTTTGTACCCCAAAATCATAAAAATCACCATTTTTCACTAATAAAAAAACATGTTTGGCTCTTTTTTTTGGCTACGAAGGTCAGATTGGCCAAATATTTTGTACAACCTCAAGGCTAGCTATGACCCACCTACCCCCCAAATTTTAACCAAATCCGCCGACCCCCACCTTGTCACGGTCTGCATGGTCCTCTCGTGGACACACTCTTAATCAAACCAATACTTACCGGGTAAAATGTTTAGACTTCAAGCTTTAGAATTATATAAAAGTAACGGCGGTACGCGTTTCCGCTGTGACGCTAGCCTCGCAAAAAAAAAAATGCTGCCGATATGTTGGGAATCCTTGTATAATGATATGACTTATAATGACTGTGCCACAACCACACCGACAGGCGTTCGAATACTGATTGTTAATAGTCAATCCATTCACCATAGTTGACGGACTAAGTTTCGGACTCGAGGAATCGAAGCCTTACTCTGCCCCTTAAATTGGATGCAGCTCATCCCAATTCAGCTCCAACAGAGTGCTAGGCAAGCTGATATTCAAATGATACCTGTAACATAGGGCCTACACTCAACAAAAAAGAAATTCTTTGTTTTCTAACTCAAAAACGTCTGAGCACCTCTCGCTCAAATAACAACTAATCAGTACAGAAATTCCTTAGCAATCCAGCCATACTCTTTGTTTGGCCAAAAGCAATGCTATTGTGTACGAAATAATGCAATTTAATGACAATTAATACCGAAAACAGTTGCACTTTTGTATACGTGCCAAATAAAAAGTATGGCTAATTTGCTATGGGAATTCTGTACTGATAAGTCGTAATTTGAGATAGACGTGCACAGCAGTTTTTGAGTTACACTTTTTTTAAGGGAGTGACTTTCTGGTTTAAGAACGAACTCCTTGGTCCGTGTGCCTTGCTTGTTCGCAGTCCATTGTGTCTTTATTTTTGCAAATAAATGTGCATTTCAAATCTGTTTGGTTATTGGTATTTAGTACGTGCCACGAAAATTCTGGATTGCTGGACTGGTACCCTGTAACCATGCATACAAATATTCTAAGATCTTACGTGCACCAGTACAACCCCGAAGAACTCAGCACACATAAACAGTCGACGAAACTGCGCAATTGTGTGCATGCGTGTTGGAGCGAAATGTCTCTTTCGGAGAATTAAGCTATCACCCGGGAGAGTGCTAGTGAGACCGTGACACCGGCTTTTTGTTTCCTGGTTTTAGATCCTAGTAATAGCTGCGGCTCAGGCCAGTTCGCCTGTAACGATGGATGGTGCATCCCCGCCTCCTGGCAATGTGACGGCTGGAGTCAGTGCTTTGGTTCCGATGGAGAGGACGAGGCAAACTGCTCCTAAATGAGTGAGATTAAAGAACCATTTTGTCAACATTGCCCACGTGAACAAGCCTTAAAGTAAAAAACAACTAGAAATGTGTCTAGTCGATGAACACAAAAGGCTTTTCTGCATCATGGGTTTGTTTGTATGGGCTTATACGCGTTATTTTGTTCATATTTCAGTCAGGCAACGCCTCCTATTAACGACGTTTGTTTGATGCGATTTCTTGTCACAGGGTTCACGCTACCGGGGACGACAATGCCACGGGATCCGACACAACGGACATCGAAATGTTCAGTTTTCACCGCCACAAGTTATCCATAGACTATAGCCCTGGCTTAAAAGAATATTTTTTTTTCAATGGGTGATTTGTCAATTTGATTTTGATTTGGTTTTAATGCAATGATAATTAAACTTTCAGATTATGAAACCACATTTAAATAGTACACGTTTCTATAAAAACCAAACTGACCTCCTGGTCATGCCATTACTTACATGATTTGTGTAAAACCTATCAGCACATGTTTTCTTAGACGATATTCCGCCTGACATGTATCTTTAGAGAACATCTAAAACTACTTTGTCCGTCACTATGTTTTCCTTTGGCGGACACCACAAAATAAAATCACCAGTCGTAGATAGCGTGTCCTCTAAATACCACAAAATAGAATGACCCCTCGAAAATAACGTGTCCTCTAAAGGCCAATAATTATGCAAGTTTCTATAAAAATACAGCTCGCAACACTGTGGCCTACTTGTCTTGCAGACTTCTTTAATGAATCAGGAAAAAGTTGGATACTTAAAAAAAAAATACAGTAATTGTCAATATTGAGAATAAATACAATTTTTCAAAATGTCCAGCCTTCGAAGTATTGAAGTTCGATTCTGTGATAGTTCGTCAATAAAGTAGCGTTGCAGCTAATTAAAAAAAAGCAAATGAATTTGTTTATATCTCCCCGTTGACGTACTTTTATTATAGAGGAAATTCGAAAACGAATTACACTTTCATTGTGATTGAGAATTTCATTGCAAGCTTTCCTCCAATCGTAAACATTTGTGACCAAACGGGTATGGATTCTTGCACACTCATATAGAGTTATAAAGACAGTGGCTTCATTCGTTTGTTATCTGTAAATCGTTTTAAGAAGTTAAACCATCTCCTACAGTGGCGGTGAGAGACTCCTACAGTGGCGGTGAGAGACTGACTGGCTTATGACATGTGACAACCCGTACTCAGTAAATATCATTGGTGTAACTCTGTGGATAGATTTTTTGTCACTTTTGAAAGCTTCTCCCAAAGTACCTCTCCTGTAGACTTGATTCAAGACATGTCTTTATACAAGTGAAAATTCACTCCATTCTACTGTTTCTTAGGAAAAGACGATTTAGAGTGAAATAAGTGTTATCAAATATGTCAAGATTTCACTCTCGAGTTTCCACTGACTTGCTTCTTTTTCTAAGTGAAATGCCGCTATAACGAACGCCGCTATAACGAACATTTGGCTATAACGAACATCCCATTTGGTCCCCAAAATAATAAATTATATTAAAATGCACAATTAGTATGACATCGGTCTTGTTCATTCAAGGCAGGCTCGTGCGATGCATAGTTCATCAGAGTTGTACGGTGCAGGCGCATGCGCACACTTGCATACAATTGAACCGATCCAGTGGAAACCAATTATTGTCGGGCCACATGTTATTCCAATTTGGTAAAGTTATTATTCAAAAACGTTCGTTGAAATTAACATTTAGTCTTATCCTTATGTTTCCTTAACCC